ATAAGGCAACATCGTCTGATTACATTGAATTTAAGCTTGAAACATCAGGATTGACTTTGGCTGACGGCAAAGTCAAATACACACACACATACACACACACACACACACACACACACACACACACACACACACACACACACACACACACACACACACACACACAGAGGGAGTTAAGTTTATTTTAAAATTTACTTTTTCAGTAGATGACGAGGAGTCTGATTATGATACGGATGAAGATCTTCAATTCGAAGAAAACGTACAAGATGCAGAATATGAAACAGAATGACTCCATCAAAATTTGCTACAGATATTTTTCATTTCTGTACAAATTTTTTTCTTTATATAAATCTTTTGAATTAACTTCTGACTTTTTGGTAATAAAGTAAACATCATGCTAAATATTTTAAATGTAACAGTTGATTATTAATTATATTTATATATTTTTCTTAATTAACTTGTGACTTTTTGTTAATAAATTCTTGTGTAGCCTTTTATTAATCAGGTGACTTGTAGGAAATGCACTGAAATATGTACGGTATGAAAATAAACAGAAAAGCGGTGGCTACTGCGCCGCGCGCCAAAAATGCGTACTATCCCTTCGCTTTCGATTTTGTCATCTCTTCTACTTTAATTTCTGCCACTTTACACATCACTTACTCCATGAATAAATAGTGTAAATTTAAATTGTCAGAAGTTTTCTTTAAAATCTAAATTTCCCGATAGTTTCTACGATTTTGGCAGCTTTTGACGACCCTTTATATTTCACTTACGCTTCTGACAATTTTATTACTACTTTTTCTCATTATCCTCGACATTTATGCAAATTTTCAGCCTTGCACTTAAACTGTTTTTATAGTTTTAAATTTGTCACATTTGATCGTCCGCTCACACACTCATTTTCCAGTGCGCCTTCTGACGCTCGGCCTTTCACTTTGCTCTCATCAATCGATCGTTTTCCACGTAAAATGTATCATGCATTAAGGTATGTCGTACCCCATGTAACCAGCTCTCAGTCTAGTTGATGACTTCTGAATCATACGACTTTCATCTAAAATATTTTTCAAATACCTTGCAAAGTTTTAATTTATATTGTTGTCCAAATTAAAATGGAACTCTTTGTACAATGAAGTGATAAAATGTTATACAGTGTGGACCATTTTTAGTGAGCCAGTACGTTTTCTCGGAAACTAGTGGGGATAGCGAAAAATGTTTCAAACAAAAGTTGTCCAACTTGGAGGGGGACATACCCTTATGACCTTGCCTGTGACCTTGGAGGTCAGGTTCAAGATTATTTCAAGGTCAACTTTGTTTTTTTAAACGGGGCCCCTCACTTTGACCCCGGATTCGGAAAGACCGGAAATTCTACTCAACGTCTTGTTTAGCCGTCACGTGTGCGGTCTATGTTGCCCTGTTTATTCATGGTCGTAATGTGATGAAGAAGATAAGTGATTAAAGTATTTTAGATTTACTATTTATTTACCAAATTAATCAATTGTTAATTACATGTGAAATATTTTACTGTAAGTGTTCAAAGACATTTCCTTCTCCTTGAATGCATAATTCAATTCTCCGATGAAAATTATCTACTGTCCTTAGTAGTACATCCTGCGGTATGTTCTGACATGCGATCCTGATCCTATCCATCATGTCTTCTCGGGTAGTTGGTTGTTCTTGATAAACGACATTCTTCAAGTATCCCCATAAGTAAAAGTCAGGAGATGTCAAGTCGGGAGATCGTGGTGGCCATGCAACTGGTCCACCGCGACCGATCCATCTACCATTGAATCTGTTGTCCAGGTAAGCTCTAACATTTCTGTGGAAATGCGCAGGAGCTCCATCTAACTGCATCCACATTCTCAGTCTTGTTTGGAGGTCAACTTCTTCCAGTAGTGCATCTACTTCATTTTGTAAAAATCGAGAAAAGTTTTCCCCATTGACATTTCCCTCAAAAAAGTAAGGTCCAATCATATGTCCATTGATAATGCCACACCACACGTTGACGCTCCAACGATGTTGATGATCTATGTGTCGATGCCAATGAGGATTTTCAGCTGACCAATAATGACAGTTGTGCCTGTTGAGCTCCCCATTATTTTTGAATGTAGCTTCGTCAGAGAACATGACATTACGGAACAAAGTTCTGTCGTTTTGAATCATTTCTCTTGCCCAACGACAAAACTCCAGTCGTCTTTCCATGTCATCTCGTGTGATGGCTTGAGTGAGAGTGATGTGATATGGTCGGAATTTTTGGCTTCTCAAAATTCTCAAGACAGTTTGTTTTAATATGCCAGTTTCTCTTTGAATTTATAATGTACTAATATGAGGATTGTCATGAATAATTGCCAATATCACAAGCACGCGAACATCATTCTCATCGTAAGTATGATGTCTTCGCGTACGAAATAAATGTCCTTGTTGAGCTTTCACATGAACCCTTCGAATGGTGTTACGATTAGGGTGTCTTCGGTACGGGAAACGTTCTTGATAAAGTCTTGCAGCTCTACGATAATTCCCTCCGGCTAGACCAAGAATAATAATCATGTCAACACGTTCACGCGCAGTATAATCCGGCATACTCCGAAACAAAAGGCTTTTGATGTAATTTTTAATAAAAATTTGTTACAAAAAAATTCTCTTCAATGAACACAAAATCTTTATTCAGTGAAATAAACGAATAAACTAAGCTGCTGTATTAAAAAATAATTTTTGTTTTGGGAGAATGAAGAGATTCGATAAGCCAAACCATACAATGACAGATATTCTATCTTCACGGTAAATGTTACTTTTATGGGGTAAAATGGATGGTTAAGCTAGAAAAGCATACGGCCTTGCGCTAGCATATGATAAAAGGGACGAATCAACGATTTCCGAATCCGGGGTCAAAATGAGGGGCCCCGTTTAAAAAAACAAAGTTGACCTTGAAATAATCTTGAACCTGACCTCCAAGGTCACAGGCAAGGTCATAAGGGTATGTCCTCAAGTTGAGCAACTTTTGTATGAAACTATTTTTCGTAAATCTTACATTCGTAAAAAAATAAAAATGACCTTCAAATAACCTTGAGGGTCACCCCAGATCCCACGTATAATAGGTCATCTGAACGTAGAATTTCCCGTTCTTTCCAAATCCAGGGTTAAAAATAGAAGGTCCCGTTTAAGAAAACAAAGTTGACCTTGAAATAATCTTGAACCTGACCTCTAAGGTCACAGGCAAGGTCATAAGGGTATGTCCTCAAGTTAAGCAACTTATGTATGAAACTATTTTTCGTAAATCTTACACTAGTAAAAAAATAAAAATGACCTTCAAATAACCTTGAGGGTCACCCCAGACCCCACGTATAATAGGTCATCTGAACGTAGAATTTCCCGTTCTTTCCAAATCCAGGGTCAAAAATAAAAGGTCCCGTTTAAGAAAATAAAGTTGACCTTGAAATGACCTTGAACCTTACATCCAAGGACACAGGCAAGGTCATGATCGTATGTCCCCCTCCAAGTTGGACAACTTTTGTTTGAAACATTTTTCGCTATCCCCACTAGTTTCCGAGAAAAAGTACTGGCTCACTTAAAATGGTCCACCCTGTATATACGAGTATAGCTATAAATATATTTAGCTATAAATAATAATTGTTAAGACTATCGGCATGCTTAAGTAAGTAAAACATCACAAGAGTAAGTTATATAGTAAGATTACTGTATAAACTTTCTACACTATACTATATAGAATTAACAGTGATGTGGTAAAATATATTTGTGATTAAAGATATATTATAGAAATAAAAATTAGTATAAAAATTTTCAAAACAGAAAGATTTTAATTTCACAGGCCGACAAATCCCAGAACCAGAGACCAGACCTAGTGTACCTGAAGAATTTGGTGCGTTGAAAACGACTCCGAGCTTAGAATTTGGCCTATATGTCTGGGTTCTGAGATATTGTAACCTAAAAGGCTCAAAAACACGTTTTTTTTTGCAATACTTGAACCTCTTTAACTTAGTAAAAAAAATGTTTTTTTGAAAAACGGATAAGGGCATCTTAAAGCGCTGGATTTCTACTTCAAAATATGAGCCGCTTATTTTGAAAGTAGCCTAACTCCATTCATCTTCAAATCGAGATATTGAAAGTTTAGGCCATTTCATACTACACGGCTCAATTATTCAATTAATTCGGAAAACTTATGTGTAAAAAATGTATCATTTTCTCTGAATATAAGCAATCTGAAGTGCGTCACTGATAAATATCATGAAGTTGTACATGTAACCATGTAAGCGGCAGCAAATTGAAAAACGGAGTTTGGTCACTTTCAAAATAAACGGCTCATATACTAGCAGTGTAAGTAAATACCATTTTTTCATCCACGTCTATGGCTGATCGACGAAGTGAAAATTTCGATTTTAGTGAAGTGTGATATAAAGTTTTAGGATCCTAGAGTGGCAAGATACTGGGTTTGTGGGTTGAGTAAGTGGGGTGTAGCGACTTAGGGTTATTGGATCGCAGATACTGGGTTTGTGGATTAAGTAAGCGAGAATGTAGCGTCTTAGAGTTATTAGGTCGCAAGATACAGATTTTGTGGATTAAGGACATGCATAAAAATTCTCAATTAGTGAGTTTAGTTCTCTAGAAAAATTTTTCACACTGAAAGTCACATTCACAAAAATCGAAACTTTCATTTCTTCAATCCGCCATAAATGTGGAAGAAAAAATGGTATTTACTTAAATGACTAGTGAATTTTGAAGTTGAAATCTAGTGCTTTAAGATGCCCTTGTCGTTTAAAAAAAAAAATTTTCACTAAGTGAGAGAGGTTCAAATATTGGAAAAAAACGTGTTTTTGAGCCTTTTAGGTTAGAATATCTCGGAACGCAGACATATAGGCCGACGTATAATAATTTATTTTTTAGGTATAAATACAAAAGTATGAATAATATATTGTAAATTTAAGAATGTAAAAGGCTATTTGATGCTTGATTATAATCGTTATAAAATACAAAATTATTCAAAGTTATACCTGTTTTTGTGGAATAATGATTTGTGTCGAAAGCGCGTCTCCTGTGTTTGGAATAGGATGATCTAACAAACAAATACAGCGAATAACTTGACCAGCTTTGTGTACCATATTAGGAACGTATGTTGGATCGCAAAACACTTGCTTACAAGATGCTATTTCAGTCCCTGAGCGGACGCCAATAACTACTCCATTTTCCTTAATAATTTCATCTACAGGTTTATCCAACATGTATGTACCGCCATAAATAGCACTGAGACGAGCAAAACCTTGAGGTAATTCTCCCAATCCATACAGAGGATACAAATATGGCGATTTTCCATACCGTGCTAAGCTTTCACTATATAACTTAATTCTGCGGATTGTAATAATCGCACTTTGAGAAATATAGTCGTCATTTCTAAAAGAAGCAAATAACAATATATATGTAATATATATACATATAGAATCAACTAATATTCTAATGATAAAATTCGTACAGATATTTGTACATTACAAATATGCGAAACAATCTCAATTTCACAGAATCTTTTATTATTTTTTTTTATTAGTACATCTAATATGAAATACTTATAATAATTTGAGTATGATAGAAATATTATTATAACCAGCAGACCGGAAGTCGGCCGTTTTAGTCACTGATCAAACTAGCACCGATTAGGATGTAACTGGCTCGGTCGTTTATATCCTAATTTCAGACTTGCTGGCTAAAAAATAATATATGACTCATGACCGCGGTATTAGTAAGCCCATAGCATGTGTTTGATACCCTCGGGTGTCAATTTATATACGAGGTGTGTTCAAAAAGTAAGGTGACTTTTCAAATTTCACGGGCAACGTACTTTCGATTATCGATTTTTTTGTTTTGTTATGTTGGTACACTCTTCCCGAACATCTGTACCAAGTTTCAAGTGTATAGCATTTTTTGTTTGGTTGTGAGAGGCGTAAAGGTTATAAGTGTTTTGCGTGCTCGGCGATTTCTTGCTATCGAAAAATATGGATCAAAGGATTTGCATCAAATTTTGTGTAAAAAATAAAATAAAGTGCTCCGAAACACTTGAAATGTTGACGGTGGCATACGGTGAAACTGTTCTGAGTAAAAAAAATATTTACAAGTGGTACAAACTCTTCCAAGATGGCCGGGAAGATGCCAATGACGAACCTCGCTCTGGACGCCCAAGCACGTCAATAACTAATGAAAACGTTCAAGCAGTGAAGAAAATTGTTCTGGAAAATCGTCGAATCACTATCAGAGAAGTTGCTGAGAATGTTGGTATATCGCTTGGCTCGTGCCATGAAATTTTTTCTAACGTTTTGGGCATGAGACGTGTGTCAGCGAAGTTTGTTCCGAAATTGCTAAATTTTGACCAAAAGAACTGTCGCATGAGCATCGCTCAAGAACTGTTGAATGACGTCAACGACGACCCAGATTTACTCAAAAGGGTCATAACTGGTGACGAATCATGGGTATATGGTTATGATATCGAAACCAAAGTCCAATCGTTCCAATGGAAGAGCCCAGATGAGCTAAGACCGAAGAAAGCACGCCAAGTTCGATCAAATGTCAAAGTTTTGCTCACTGTTTTCTTCGATTACCATGGCATGGTGCATCAGGAGTTCTTACCATATGGACGTACGGTCAATAAACAGTATTATCTTGAAGTTATGCACCGTTTGCGAGAAGCAATACGAAGAAAACGCCCAGAATTGTGGAAAAACAATTCATGGCTTTTGCATCACGATAATGCCCCTGCTCGCTCATCTTTGCTTGTGAGAGATTTTTTGGCCAAAAACAACACCACAATCATGCCTCAGCCACCATATTCACCGGATTTGGCCCCATGTGACTTTTTCTTGTTCCCAAAACTAAAGAGACCTATGAAAGGACGGAGATTTGCAACGATTGAAGAGATAAAGACTGCATCGCTGGAAGAGCTCAAGGCTATACCGAAAAGTGCTTATGAGAAGTGCTTTGAGGATTGGAAAAACCGTTGGCATAAGTGTATTGTATCTGAAGGGGATTATTTTGAAGGGGACAACATAAATATTGATAAATAAATAAATATTTTTTCTTAAAAATACCAAGTCACCTTACATTTTGAACACACGTCGTATGCTATAAAATGACTAATACTTTTACGGCCTTATGTTCTAATAAACTAGTTTTTCAAATTCGATGAAAAAATTTTATTGTAACAATAAAATCATTAAAAATTTATTTTCACTTTTTTATAGTTCTTATAGTTTTCTTCTCCTTATTTTTAGTGTTTTTTTGAATAGTTATAAATATGCAATCGTAACATCCCTTTGAACGTTAATGGTATATTTACAAGGGTTTTTAAATGTAGATTCTCTTTTCTCTTCCTGCCATACCCCAATTTAAAAAAGTAACCGAAAATACCCGCTTCTCCAACATTTTTTAATAAATACTCTATTTCGGAGATTCCCGTACTCTTTTCATAATACAGATAAGCATATATATACTAAAATTTCCAAAAAATAAATGTTGAAACAGTTTATCTTAGATTATCAATTATATGGTGTAATGAACAGATATTCGTTAATGCGAGTGCGTACACTCCCGTCCAATAATCTTTACCCAACCGAGAACAAAACGACTGTAAGTGTGAAGCTCTATATTAACAATGAATATAAAGTTGTTTCTAAAGGAAACGTTCATATAATCTCTGAAATTAAATAAAAAATATTTTAGAACAAGTACTTTGCATAGCACAAAAAGAAATACAAAATAATTCTTCTGAATTCTTTTACTATTTTTTTTTCTTAACCCGTTTCGGCCGAAAACGCAACTCACGAGACACTAGTGTTTGAAACGTTATAACTAATTCAGTAAGCGTTCAAAAAATTTATGAGATACATATTTCAAAAACTTACAGCAAGCCCTTCATGATGGTGTACTCAAAATTGATCTTAACCATCATTATTTATGAAAACAACACGTTTAAACAAAAAAAATATAGGGATTTTCAGCTATCTTCTTTTTCAAATCCAATTTTCGAAACCTTCAGCATTGGGAACCAACCTAGAACCCTTGCAACCGATGGAACAAATACCTAAACTTTAAGAATTTGTGGTTTAAAGTTCAATTTTTCGCTCTAGTATTTTCAAAATGACGTCTGAACAGCCAAATTTTCCCAAGTTATTCACGAATTTTTTACTCGAAAATTATCAACTTGTTGGAAAAGTGCCAGGAGATGAAAAGTTCTTAGAATCGATCGGGAAATGCACATGATTTTTTTGGGAGAGTTAGGAGGAAAATTTTTCTTTTTATAAATAGCAAATATTTGCAAAATTAAAAATTGCTCGAAATGCTTCCAAAAAATTCTCATGTACTCCTTAGCATATTCTAAGATCATTTTATGATTCATAATGTACTCATCAAGTGGATTATTTTTCAAAAAAAATGCTGAAGTTGCAAAACAGTCGTAAATTCTTATCCATCGTCATTATAAATAATCGCTTGGGCATTTTCTATACTATTTAGCATTTCAATTTTGATTTAAAAGTAAATAGTCTGCTAATGTACACATGCACAGAAAAATGCACGTAAAGATTTATTTTGCAGTAGTGCGCCGATGATTTTCTTGGTTGAGTGTCTGTTCCTGGACACGAAGCCGTTAAAGACAAACAGATTGCCAATCCGATGACTGAAGTGTTTTTCAGGTAAATTGGAGGAATCTCGATAATCTTAGAATTTTGAGTAAAAAATATTCTAAAATTGCAAACTTTGGAACTCGCTACGAGGCGGAATTGCGGAAGAGAAAAAAAGACGTCATTTGTAGATTCAAGATTTTTTTGTTGGAAAACCATCAACTTCATGAGAAAATTGTAAAGAATAAAATTATCTTAGAAGATGCCAAGGAGTACGTGAGAATTTTGTTGAAACATTTCGAGTAATTTTTTAATTTTCTAAAAATTTTCTGTTTATAAAAATGGTAAACTATATATTATTCAACGTATTGGATATAATTAGACACGACTTTTCCCCATCTTTCAGACAGCATATGGATCCCGCGTTGTAAAAAATTCCTCACCTTTTGAGGCGATCCAAAAATCTATCCAATTTTTGGCTTCTTCGTAAGAAGTAAAATGCTGTTCGGCTAGGCCGTGAGTCATTGACCGGAACAAGTGATAGTCACTAGGGGCAACATTAGGTGAGTATGGCGGGTGGGGTGGGACATTCCATTGAAGCCCCTCTAAAGTGTCTTTAACGACTTTTGCAACATGAAGGGCCGAGCGTTGTCGTGCTGAAAGATGACTGTCGTATCTTTTGGTATATTGGGGGCGTTTGATCTTCATTACTTGACTCAATTGCATAAATTATTGTTGATAACGTTCTCCAGTAAGGGTTTTATTAGGATGGAGTAGCTCATAATAGATCACTTCGAGCTGATCCCATCAGATATACAGAAGGAAGCTTCTTGCCATGAATATTTGGTTTAGCCGTTGAAGTTGATGGATGTTCGGGCTTACCCCATGATTTCCTGGACTTTGAGTTGACGTAGTGGATCCATTTTTCATCCCCCGTTACGATTCGATGCAAAAAACTCTTATGATTTTGCTTTTGAAGCAGTTGTTCGTGAAAAATAGGAAGCGTGGACGTGAGAAAGAGACCGACCGAAAAATTCGGAAGCGCACCTAGAAGAAGTGTGTGCGCGATGGTAGAGAGAGAACGACACGCGATTAAGGAGAACAATATTGTTACGGTAAGAAATAGTGAGTCTGGGACGCATCGTTTTTCTTTGCTATTTCATTCATTATTACCGGAAAACCTAGATATTTGGAGAATCGTGAATGTCTATGCAGTACATATTAGGAAGAGTATAGTGAAAAGGATACTCCTATTTTTAAGAGAATGGCAGCAAAGACTAAAACGAGAGGTCCAAAGAAAGTACTAGGTACAAATGAACCTGCCCAAATATACTTAATCGACATACAAGCCATGGTCAATAAGCTCCACCCTCTGATACCAATTTTGATATTACTAAAACTTATATGCGATAACCTTTTATCTGAGTTTCCTCCTACCGATTTCCTTCCAGTGTAGTTAAAAATAAGGCTTAAAGTCAAGTGTCAACCATGAGCTTGGAGGTCGAGGATGTATGAAATGTTTGTTGCAGCAGCCACGAGCTAATTAGCCATCAGAGCTAGCAGAGCAGTTAAAAGACTTCTTCCAATGCATCCTGTAAAAATAGCAGAGATCTTGACCAAGTCCACATGTCGACTTTTGTCGACAGGTTGAAAATGTTCTCCGCCTCCAGCTCGCGTTCAACCTCCTATTTCGATCGCCTTGTTCTTCCCTTTTAGATTGACTGCTACCATTATAATCTTCTACGATGGATGACCGATATTCCAGTTGGTGCTAAATTCTCCGTCCCC